TAAAAATTGTATTTACTTGTTCCTCGGGAATAAGATTTTGGTTCGAACAGACCTATGTAAGAATAATTACCACTGTATCCAAATTCATAGAAATATACGGGCGCCGTATTCTTTGCAGCAATATGCTGGGCTGCTTTACTAATTCCATATCCAAATTGTCTATCTGACATCATCTGAAGAATGTTGAGATTAGATATTTAGATTATTATTTAATTCAGTAAAAAACTAGAAAAATATGCTTTCTAAACACACATATTTTGAAAAAATGTGATATAAAACATTCTTAAACTATAAAAATATACTGAAATTTAAAATAGAAAATATTCATTCAACAAGTTATTCAAAAATACATAATATTGTGTCAGTAATACATTGTCATAATTTGTTGTCAGTTACTACATATTGTTCTATATATTATGTTTGGTTTAGTAATGTAATAGGATAAGAATTATATAATATATTCTTATTATTTTACATTATTTACCATAATTTGCCCACTGAAAGTACCATGTAAATAAATTGTTGAATAATAAACTCAATAATATGGTATAACCCACACATTTATAAAAATAAGTATAAAGTAAAAAGTTGTAATTCTCCATATACACATAAATTGACTAAATTGATTCTTTCTTTTAAGATACCAAAAAATCATGTAAATTTTGAATTTTTCAATTCCTTATAGATCTGATCTAATAATGAGCTATTAAAATAGTAATAACTAGGTGGTATATTAAATTGACTTATATCTTTAAAAATAAATAAATATTAAAAAAGTTCAAAATATTTTTAAAAAATTAGAATAAACATACTTTTACAAGATTACTTTTTGTTTCTTTTGATATTGGTTTGTCACCAAAGTAAAACTCTTTTATATCTTGAGCAATTTCGGACCTCAGATTCTCGTTTGAAATCGTGTTATTATAATCAAGAAGATGCGGTAAATATTCATTCCAATTATTTTTTAGCTCATCAATAGCATTGTCTGAACCAGTAATTATTTGTATAAGAAGACCCTCATATTCGCTTAAACTTATCAGTACTGGAATGTCATGTGGAATGAGTTTTTCTGGGATATCAGGTAAGAATTTTTCGTCTCCTTCTACTTCAACAGTTGGACCAAACGGCGTAAAAGGACTAAATGTCCATGGCTATATATATTAGAATTAAAATACAATTTCAGAATATATTGTATTTATTACTTAATTATGAACAAAATATTTACCATGAAGTTTATTATTGATAGAGCAATGTCCTTTCCTGGTCTAGAACGAAGACATTCGACGATTTCCAAGGAATTATTTGTTGGACATCCCAGTGTGTTTGCAACATACTTTGTTTTTTGATCAAGGTTTTCAGTATGAGACCAATGACAAAATGCACTTCCACTTTGAATAATTACTCGATTAAATAACCCTAAAAATGTAAAAATTAAAATATTGAAAAACAGTAAACACAGACAATGTTGTTACATTTAAGTTAAATAGCTCTTTAATATTATTAAATCTAATGAAGCTGATAAATATACATTGATTTTTTAAGCATATGTAAGACCAAGACCAATAGTTGCCTCTTTTTAATGATGTTAAATAGCTAATGACGAATGTCAATTATTCATATCCAATGGTAGTGTATACTAACCTAGTTTCTCGGAAGAAAGTTTGCTAATATTGACGTTCAACAAAAATATACAATTTTCAGTGGTTCATAGATAACATATTAAGTGTATAATTTTTTCTAATCAATCATCCATCCTAATAAACTAATGTTGGATACTTATAATTTTTATTGATATGTAAGTAAAATAAAATACAGTAAAACCTGTGTAATATGGAACCTGAATAACGTGGAAACCTGACTTTTATGGAAAAATGTTACGGTCCCGGCGATCCTAATGTAATTTTAAATACATCGTTCCCTGAATAAGATGGAACCTGTTTAACGTGGAAATGGAAACAATATTTTGTCATGAACCTGTGTATCATGGAAATATGTACATGTACTATTTTAAAATTATCAGTCAATGAATATAATCTATATCAATTATATAGATTATTTCGTTGCAATAAGTTTATTTTATCGATAAGTGTCGTAGTAGTGTTCTGACGTAGACTGCGTATAGACCTATATTCAATATGACGTCCAAAAATAAATGTTTAACACTAAATGAAAAAATTAAACTAATTGAGTCAAGTGAAAAAGATAAATTAACAGTAAAACAAATTTGTGAACTTTTCAAATGTGGAAAAAGTCAAGTGTATAATATATTAAAGCAAAAAAATGAAATAAAAGAACAATGGATGAATGGTATGCAATAAGCTTAACTATAAAAATGTAAAATTCAAAATTCTATATGTACGTATATTTTTTAATTTTAGGAAATGGGCGAATGAAAAGAAAACCAAAATCCAACGCTAATGAAGAAATTAATAATTTGACTTGGGAGTGGTTTGTAAGTGCTAGAGCAAAAAATATACCAATTTCTGGACCAATTATACAGACTAAAGCACGCCAAATTGCTGAACAAATGTCAGTCACCGAATTTAAAGCATCGAATGGCTGGTTGGAAAGTTTTAAAAATCGACATAATATTGTTTGGCATCAAATTTGCGGTGAGTCAAATAGTGTCGATGTTAAAAATGTTGATGAATGGAAGGTGAAAGTAAAATTAATTATTGAAGGATATGAACCTAAAAATATTTATAATGGTGATGAGACGGGTTTATTCTTTCGCGCATTACCAAGTAAAACACTATCAGTGAAAAGTGAAGAGTGTAAAGGTGGTAAGCTTTCCAAAGAACGTTTAACGGTATTTTTATGTGCTAACATGGAAGGAGAATTTGAAAAACCTCTAGTTATAGGCAAAGCACAAAAACCCAGATGCTTCAAAAATGTAGATCCGACAAAATTTCCCATAATTTGGCGAGCTAATAATAAAGCATGGATGACTGGAAGCATAATGGAAGATTGGTTGCATACATTCAACAATAAATTAAAAAAACAAAATCGAAGAGTTATTTTATTTCTTGATAATGCAACATGTCATCCGCATTTAAATTTATCAAATGTTCATTTAGCGTGGCTTCCAGCTAACACGACATCACTTACCCAACCAATGGACCAAGGAATTATTTATTCGATTAAAGTAAATTATCGTAAAATGGTTTTACAATCGTTATTAGCAAGTATGGATAGCATAAAAAGTGTTAATGAATTGTCAAATAAAATTAATGTACTAGATGCAATTTATTGGTTGAATAAATCTGTAAACTTAATAAAACCAGATACAGTCAAAAAATGTTTCATAAAAGCCGGGTTTAATTTAGTTTTGGACCAGCCAACAGATGCCATTAACGATAACGATAACGATTTTAAATTGCTATGTTCTACAATAAATGAAAAAGTAGATAGTGATGAATATGTTAACATCGATAAGCATTTATGTACTAATGATACTGATATTATTGCTGATACTACAGTGAAACCTTGCACTTCAATAGACGTTGAACAATCCAGTTCCGAAGACGAAACAGATAATGTACCATTGCACGGCAATGATATTAAAACGTATAAGAACGCCCTCCATGAAATAAAACGATTAGAAATGTTCGCATTGGATCAAAATAATGAAAATGAACTTCTTGAATCAATTCTCAACTTGAAAAATTTAGTAGAAAAGAAAATGGCAAGTCAAATAACAAAACAAAAAACATTGGATGAATTTTGGAGTAAAATATAATATAATAATAATATGTAAAATATATAAAAATATATAAATTATAAATTATGTATATTTAATAAAGATCTACCCATCGTGAATTTTTTTTTTTTACAACCTGCATTAAATGGAAACCTGTCTAAAATGGAAAAAATATCCGGTCCCAACTGTTTCCATATTACACAGGTTTTACTGTAATATCAATTGAAAACATTATTTCTAGAATCACAATAAATTGAAAACTTTTATACTTTGAACTTTTTGTTCAGCTTTTGAAGTGTTTATAAGTTGTATTTGATGAAGGTATCTAACGTGGGTACACCAAAGACCTAACACAAAAATACATAAGTCGATGTCGATTTATTTGTATTCCCTTTGTGGTTCGATTGTCAGATTGTATGCATATGACAAATATAAATTAATTAAGATGAATTCAATTAAAGTATATCCCTTTAACCATGGTTTATTAAGTAGGTACCAGCTAAATCAAATACTTCGTTGCCTGTTTTAAAAAAAATTGTGATTGTTCAACTTCGTTTGAGTGCAACTCAGCAGCCCTGGTAAGTAATCCAACGAAATCGGATCGCGGACGATTTGCAACATCATACCAAGAAAGCAATGGGCAAAAATGAAATTTCATGCATGATCACTTGGTCGCAGATGACAGCCAAAAAAATAATAAATACTAATTTCTATTAATTAACTAATCATTACTCCTATAACCAGTTGCAACAATGTATATACAAAAATGTCCACTGTTAATCTCAAAATCTCTGGTTTAGACCTCAAACGCACACAAAATATTCATCAAAATCAGTCTTGCGTTTAGGAATGCATAAATGACACACAGCCAGACAGAAAAATATTCCGTTATATAGATATAGATGATTGAGTTGAAAAAGGATATTATGTTTTATTAAATAATATATTGAAAAAGCATTGTAGTATTGACCACGTATTATGGGCAGTCTATGTACATTTTATCGATACACATTTTATATTGAAAACCAGTATAATATAATATAAAATCTACCTAGGTACATATTTTAATATTGAATACAAACGTACTTCTGAGCAAAATATGTATTTTTAAATGAGGATTTACCTGTACAAAACGAAATTTCTTGAGACTCGTGCAAATAATAATTTAACTTTACAAGTACAGTACTACAGTTTAGTTTTTAGTTGTTTTAAATAACATTGTAGATTACACAATTAATCTTACCTTTACACATTAGCATGTGTACGGATTACATAAAATTATGATTTAATTAACATTGTTTCAAATAACATTGTAGATTACACATTTACACAAACCTTTAGACATTGGTGAAATCAAATGGCTATGAACAGAACCTGCACCAGCTGACATGCCAGAGATTGTTACACTGTTTGGGTCACCCCCAAATGCAACAATGTTTTGTTGTATCCACTTCAATGCTGCTACTTGGTCTTTCATTCCGTTATTCCCAGGCAAAACACCATCGCCAGTGGAGGCAAATCCTAATACGCCCAAACGGTAATTCATTGTTACGTAAACGAAATCGTTGGTGTCCAAAAGATATTCTGGACCATATAATAAGCTTTCGCCACCAAGGAATGCGCCACCATGTATATGCACCACAACGTTCATTAGATTACCTTTTCCATTCTCTAGTGGAAGCTGTTTAAAAAAAGTAATGAAATTTTTATGTAGGTACATTGAAATGTTTTATTTGGGAGCTAGGATAAATTACTATTATTAGGATGTAGACTTAAGATAAATTATAAATCAACGTATACGTAACATAATAATTATTAGTGAACAATGCTCATATCAATAGTGTTTATGTCATTTTTGAAGTGTTTAGCCGTATTAAAAATATCTGGGAATTTCTAAGTATAGAATTTTAAAAGTGTTTTAAATATACATAGGTTATAATATAACGTACTACGTATTTATAAGTCAAAGTTGAGTTGTCTTACGTAGGCAGGGGTAGACGAATAGGAGACCGGTAAATAGTAATAAGTTACTTTTTTTTCTTACAAGAACCAACTTCAACGCACCGAACACAGGTATCAACTGGGGAGAATTTTCCAGAACTATTTATAGTTGGGTCAGGTGGGTGGGTGGTAATAATAAGTGATCAGTCATTAGTGGTATTTAATATTTAAACATCATCATAATTTAACAATAATGGTAAGTGTAAAGAATAGGCAATAATAGTATGAGTATGGTAGATCACCGGGCAGTATATCGCGATTATATTGCACTTTTCGAGAGTAGGTATACATTTTTTTTAAGTAGGCGGGTCTAACAATAGAATTCCCCCCCCCCCCGAATATGAATATAGATCGGAGCCACTGAGCCTCAGTAACACACTTTTAGATTTCTTTAGAGCTTCTCAAATAACACCTGTTGTGTACTTGTGTCCGTCCATCAGCCTGTCCATTAGTTAAAATTATATCGTTACGATTGTATGTAATAAGATTTTATAACTGCAGTCATATTCAAATATTAAATTAATAGAAGCCAATATTAAAATAAAGGTTGGTAAGTGGGTGTCATCCTGCTGTACAGCAGGTCACACGTAGGTCACTGTAATGTATGGTGTTAAATTTGAATTCAATGATATCTTTGCTTAAGACAAAAAGATTCTCAGCAAAGACGGCCAGACAGCCTATGAATTATGATACTAAAAAGTATATTTGATGACATTTTTGTGAATAAAGTAATTTATAGATAACATTTTTAAGTTCTTTATTTTAAATTTTAAATCCTTAGCTTTAAAAGTTGAACATTTTATAAATTTTGAACTAAAAGATAATTTCAGTTCGTGCTCAGACACCGTACAATTCGCACGTACATTGTCGCACACCGCTTATCTGTTCCGATAGCATAGTCGTTAGTGCTCGCCGTCGCGCCCTGCGCTCATTACGTTATCAAGCTGACGGTAATGTTTAACTTATCGTATATCCCAAGTATAATAACATCATTAACTCGCTATCGAAGTCACCATGAATAATAATCAACCAAACAAACCTAATAATATAATTAATAAGAAAAATAACAAATCCGCTCCGCCGATTACTATCTCAAAAACAATTATAACAACGAATTCAAAAGCTAACACTTTAGATTCTGGATGGTCAACACAAACAAATAAACGTCAACACTCCAACTCCTCAAACTCACTATCCGAACCCTCATCTCCGAATGTGAACATGGATTTAAATACTAAACAAAAAACACATAAAAAAAAAATCTTTGCTTCACGCAACAGGTTCGAAATACTTGACCAAGAAGATCCATTTGACCAGCCCACTATTGAAAATACTTCTACAAACTCTCAGCAAAATGATGCTGAAAACGATATAATGGAAAATGTAAACACACCAATTAAACCCCCTCCACCTATATTTGTTAAAGGTGTCGAAGATTTTCCCGCACTATGTACTGCCTTAATAGAGCTTATAGGTGTTGACAATTTTATATGTAAATCTTCATCAAATTCTCTGAAAATTCAAACTACGGACCCTAATGCCTACAGAGTATTAGTACATTACCTAAAAGCTGAAAAAGCTGAGTATCATACATACCAGCTTAAAGAAGAGAAACCACTTCGGATAGTTATACGTAATCTCCACCCATCCACGCCTCTAAGTTTAATAAAAGAAGAGTTGGAAATTCGTCTCTACGAGGTAAGGCAAGTTACCAATGTACTACATAAAGTCAATAAAAATCCCCTCCCCTTATTTTTCGTTGATCTTGAACCAACACCAAAATCCAATGAAATTTTTAAAATGTCTTCACTACTTCATTGTAAAATAAAAATCGAAGAGCCGTACAAACCGAAGACAATCAGCCAATGCTTTAATTGTCAACAATATGGACACACCAGAACCTACTGCGGCTATCAACCCCGATGCGTTCGCTGCGGAGCAGATCATCAGTCAACTGCTTGCCCGAACCCACGCGATGCTCCTCCGAAATGCGCTCACTGTTCTCAAAACCACCCAGCCAACTACAAGGGCTGCACAATTTATAAAGAACTCCAACGTCGTAAGAAATCCAGCACACCAAGTAATCGATTACCAAATAATTTTAATACCCAAACCACTAATGTACAAAGTAGCCATCCACCTGTTCGCACTTTCCCAAATCACCCCTCTCCTCAAACGCAAACTTACGCTCAGGCCACGTCCAATACACCAGCTTTCGTTGCTCCTCCTCCTTCTACCGATACTCAGCCGCCTGATTTAAGCAAATTATTAACTAATTTTTTAGACGAATTCAAAAATGTTATAAATCCACTAATTTCTCTTTTAACTAAAGTAATATCCAAGCTCCTCGACAAATAATGACTAATAATAACTACAATAAATCTGTCACCGACGATTCGCTCTTAATACTACAATTTAACGCCAATGGACTAAAAAACCATGCCCTTGACCTCGAAACCGTATTAAACCACAAACGCATTGATGTTGCCCTCATTTCTGAAACCCACTTCACTAAATTCTCCCATATACATATACCCGGTTATACTCTAATTAAATCAAATCACCCCGACAATACCGCGCATGGAGGTGCTGCTATTTATATTAAATCTAATATTGAATTCTATCCCCTACCTAGGTTTTCTCAATCCTTTCTCCAATCTTGTGCTATTAACCTAAAGTTAAACAATACTTCACTCACCATTGCTGCTGTTTATTTACCCCCAAAACATAACATAAAAAACTCTCAATTCGCCGACTACTTCAACTCATTTAATAATAACTTTATCATAGGTGGCGATTTTAACGCCAAACATCAGTCATGGGGATGCCGCGTGAATAACCCCCGAGGAGTTACCTTATATAACTATATAAACACTAAGAGATTTAAAGTTCTAGCTCCACCTGATCCAACCTATTGGCCCTCTTCGGCCCGTAAAAATCCTGATATTCTTGATATCTTTGTCTCCAATTTACCGAACACCTTGTTCCACTCTACTAAAAACTTACCCGATTTAAATTCTGACCATTCATCAATACTCCTAACGCTCAATACTTCCCCTTCTGTCAAAGAATCCAACAAATTATTTAACAAATTCACAGATCATGTTAAATTTCATGAACTAGTTAACACAAAAATTAAGCTAAACACAAAATTAAAATCACCCAATGACATAGACCAAGCGGTCCTCAATCTTACCAATATAATACAAACTGCAGCATGGTCGGCTACAAATACAATGCCAGCACCTCCTTCTGCAAGCTCACTTCCTGAATACATACGCAACAAAATTGTTGAAAAAAGAAGAGCAAGAGCTCTATACCAGCGCACGCGTTTACCTTCCCATAAACTTAATTACAACCAACTAGCTAACTCACTAAAAAAACTGCTCATTGAATTTAAGTCAAACATATGGCAAAATCACTTAATGAAACTCACTCCCACAGACGGTAGCCTATGGAGAGAAACAAAACAAATACTTCGCTATAAATCTCCAAATCTCCCTATTAAAAAATCAGATGGTAGCTTAGCTACTTCGGATATCGAAAAAGCTGAACTTTTTAAGGATCATCTTGCTAATACCTTTCAACCACACGCCGATATCATAGACGTTGAAAACATGAATCAAGTCGAAACGTTCTTAAATACCCCCCTCCCGGTTTCTCTCCATGTCAAGTCATTTACACCTAATGATGTAAAATATGCTATCCAAAAATATGCTCTAAAAAAAACACCAGGCTATGATTGCATTACTGCGGTAGTAGCCAGATCCCTGCCAGCTAGAGCCATAGTTCACATCACTCATATATTTAATGCTTCACTCAGACTTTCCTATTTTCCCCTACTATGGAAATTCGCAACTATAATCTTATTTCCAAAACCAAACAAACCACCTGAACTACCATCATCACACCGTCCAATCAGCCTTCTCCCTTTTTTCGCCAAAATACTGGAACGGTTAATTCTGAAACGAATTCTCCCGATAATTACTGAAAAAAATATTCTTCCAAACACCCAATTTGGGTTTCGCGCTTCTCACTCAACTATTCATCAAGCACACAGAGTCGTAGACTCTATTTCGTTTTCCCTGGAAAAAAAACTGTTCTGCAATTGCGTGTTTTTAGACATCTCACAAGCATTCGACCGCGTATGGCATGATGGGCTTTTGTATAAACTTAAGAAATTCATGCCTCCCACCTACTACTTACTTATTAAATCCTATCTATCAGATCGTCATTTTCAAATACGCTACGGTTCTGCGTTATCTGACGTAGCAGTTATCAATGCTGGTGTTCCCCAAGGGGGCATTTTGTCTCCTATTCTGTACAATATCTTCGCTTCTGATCAACCAACTACCCCCAATACATCCGTAGCTGACTACGCTGACGATAAAGCAATAATATCTATTAACAATGATCCATTCATAGCGTCATATAATCTCCAAACTCACCTTAACCACATGGAAAAATGGTTTACTAACTGGCGATTCAAAGTAAACCAAAGCAAATCTGTACATACTACCTTCACCCTCAAACATGCTTCCTGTCCTACAGTTTTTCTATACGGTATTCCTATCCCTTACTCTCCAAAAATCAAATATCTCGGGCTCACTCTCGACCAAAGGTTAACCTGGGCTCATCACATCAAAATCA